ATTTCCATCATACTAGTAGTAGTGGTACTACGACTACTAGCTAGTACTTCTACTAGTATGATCAGTTTCACCTTAGTACCAGTTGTAACAGTAGTAATAATAGTTGTAGTAGCTAACAGTATTAGCAACAGTAGACGGTAGAAGTAACTGTACCTTCGGGGACTTTTTGGAAATTTGGACCGCACGTGGAATATGAGTTTCACTTTTTTTTTCGTGCTTCATGATGCGCAAAAAAAATTTGATGCACACCCCTCTATTATGACCCCTGTCCATTGCAACTATGAACAATATCATAAGAATATATTAACAAATATAAACATATTCATTTCTAACACATCACTTCACTTGACGGTTGAAGTCATTCCAATGCTCTTTACATAGAGCAACATTGCAACTTCTGCAACCATTCCTTGACATTTTCATACTACTACTAATCCATGTGCATGTACCATGGTGGCACCAACAACTTCCTCAATCTCCTCACTGATGAGGAGTTAGGATACCTATGCTTTGCTTCTACACACACAACACAATAGTTCCTCTTTACTCCTTCCTACTTGCCACTGCATCTTCCTCTACGTGGCTTTGACATTACCTTTCCATGAGCAATGGTGCTGGTCTTCTTGTTCTTCAAACAGAAGAAAGAAATCCTGCAATTGCAAGGGTGATATTTTCCATTCTTTAAAGTCTGAGGCATCCACTCTGGCTTAGAACCTTCATCATTTGGAGCTTTCCAGTCCATTTAAATACCTCTATTCATCAATGCAATGCCAAGATGAGATTGAAACTTTCTCTAGTACTTTTGTGGTGTTTTGATTTGTATATCTTCCATTCCTTCATAAACTTGTCACATGCTAGGCCAGTGACAATTATATAGCAGGAGTGTACCACTCTATCAAGCAATCAGAAGAAAATATGAAGGTATCATCTATTTGTTTGAAGTGATGTAGAATATTTTGTTGCACTGTCCTTGCCTGAGAGGTCAACACCATTGAACCTTGTGGAATATGTCTTCTGTACTTTGGAGGATAAAATTTCTTTGCCACAATTTAACCAATGGATCTTCTCTGTGTCTCTCCTTCTTGCTTACCAGCAGTAACATTAACAGTATGTAACCTTCCAACCACCCTTTTGTTGCTCCATATAGTGACCTGTACAACATATTTGGAATTACTTGGTCCAGTCATTGACTGTGTGCTGGCATACCACATCCATCCCAGTTGCACCTTTCCAGCTGCGCCATTAGAGAACTTTGGAAATGGGAAATCTTCTGCTGTGTGTGAACTAACCCTCTTCTTTGTCTGGACAATGCTTCCAGCTGATATCAATCTGTATTCTTCATATAGCTTGGTCACAACTTTCAGTGTAGTGTAGAAGCTGTCCATGAACAGTTGACAACCATTATGTTGTCCAAGATTGGATTGACGTACCAACTGCTGAATGATATCCCATGTAGACCCACTACTAGTAATACCAGTGTAGATCTCAAATGCAATTAAGTACCCAGTGTTAGCATCACACGCACAATACACCTCAATACCATGCTTGATACTGGACAAATCAAATGGATCTTCCTTTGTAAACAATCATAGTCTCATCAACAGATAGGTCAATATTTGCATGCCACTCAAGACAAAGACAATCAGCAATTTTCTCCATCATGGTCTGGATTTTGTGGAGTGGGTTGTCAGTATGATAAGCTTGGCTTCTGTTGTCACCACCAAAATGAATATATTGTCTAACAAAGCTGCATCCATTCTTGCTCATTGTATTCCTGACCATGGGAACATACACAAACCACCATTCTCAAGACAAGTCCAAAAAAATTGGGAGATTCTTCTTGTTTTGAACCACTCAAACCTCCGTAGCAGATGCATAGTAGTAAACCAAGCCAGGAAAGAATGTGCCAACCCTTCCACATTATTATTAGTGTGGTAGCCATCCAATGTATTCCTTACTACAGTACTGGTAGGACCTGGGGCTGCACCTCCTCCAGGTGATGTATACTGGACATTGGGAGGAGGATACCATTCATATGCATCATCTCCCAGCTTCCAAGCTTCATTTGGTATAACTGTCAATTCTTCCTCCTGTCTCAACTGGTTCTGCTCCTTCACTGACCAGATACTACTCTCAATTGTCAAAATTGATTGCTTCATATCCTTGTACTTTGAAAACTCATCATAGGCTATTACTTTTGCCTGGGCTTTTCACTCTTCCAAAGAATTATGTGCATTTGTAAGCTCTTCACCTGTGACATGTTTATAGTCAGTAGAGAGACGCATATCTGGAAGCTTGGACTTGGATGGATTCAAGGGACACCCAGCGTATTTTTGATGATCGGATATGGGTCCATGGTCATCTTGGGAGGGGCTCCTACTGTGAGGGTGCAGGCCACCACCACTGTTTTCAGATAGGTCTGCATCACTAGTAGTATGACCATAGTATGAACAATTATCAACCATCAGAAAAAGAATCATCATCATCCATCAAGGTGATATGATTATTTTGTGTTGGTAAATATGATGGTTTGGGTGATAAATTATGTTCTGGTTTGGAGTGTTTTAAATTTTCTTGGTTGGATATTATGAGCAGAGAAATGAATGAGCAGAAAAGGTGTTTTATACACCAAAGTAATTGTTTAAAACTCTTTTCGGTATTTCAGTCTTATTTTGTTTAGGATTTGTACTGCACCAGTCTACACAGGTGAAAATCATGGAAACTCCAAAAAAATCCAAAAATGCACAATTTGGGCGGAGATGGGAAAATGTTAAATGGGTCATTCCTGAAAACATTGATATGTCATTTTTGGCATACCCGGCTCATTTTCTTATGTACTACAGAGACATATTTTTATTGGAATCCTTGACTGAATGTATTCAGTCTGGTCAGTGTGCTACTGAAGACAAGAGTCACTTGGCACCAAACCAATTTTTCTTCCTAAAGCATCATATCTTTGTTGCTTCCCCTCAACAAGAACAGAACACATTCAACAAGGACAAGGAAAACTGAGAACACATAACCATCAAACAAGAGGAGTGTGCTGACTGGTGTGCAGGGCCCTCTAGTTAATAGCAACACAAGCATCCAGATTCTTCTGTTGTTGAGGATGAATGAGCTTGCTAAGAGAAGGTAGGAGCAACATTAGGGCTCTCTACACTCTTGCCTCAAGATGGAAGACAGGGACAAGGATGAGGAAGACCACAAGATCCCTTATGTGATTAGCACAGATAGCAGCAGTCACCATAAAAGAGGAAGAGGAGAGAGCAGTAGTTCAACAATCATGGCTCCAGCTCCAGCACCACCACCAGCAGTGGCTCAAGAAAGAGGAGGGAGGACTCATGGCATCATCAACTCCACCCTTAGAGAGACCATGTGCATGCTGACAACCTTGAGGAGGATCCTTCCTATTGGATCAGAACAATGGATGAAAGTTGTTGATACCCATGAAGAGAACTGGAATACTGGAAGAGACAAGGAATCCATCACCAGAAAGTATGCCTCCCTCCACAGCAAAGGAATTCCTTGTACTGGGAATCCACACATGTCTCCACTGATCAAGCTTGCAAAGGAGATCAAGCTATTGATTGATGCCATGGCAGCCATTGGAAATGGAGAAGAGGACTTTGATCTGGACGAAGAAGGATGCAAGATTAGGATTACACCAGTATCTTACTAGCAGATAACATCGACAATGAGAACATTGAGGACAACAATGAGGTTGAAAGTCCTCCTTCTTTTCAACAGCCTTCACAACTTACCCAAGAAACTGAGCTCCTCACTCCTTGGCTTGAGACACTGACTCAGCTTGAGACACCAACTCAGATTGCTGGTACAACTCAGATGGTGCAGGTTGCTCAACTTACTGCTCCAGCTCAATCAACCCAAGCAACTCAATCCACTCAAGCAACAACCCAATTGACTCAGAAAACATTGATTGTTTCTGTTCCTCCTCAGAGCACTCCTGCCCTCCCCCCAAGAGAGCATATCACTCAAGAGGAGGAGCCTTGAGCTGCTCCAGCATCAGCAGCACCAACACAGAATTCACATCCATGTTCCAGATGTCCATGAAGCACCAGAAATTGCTTGCTATTAAGCAACAAACCTTGTTGTTGTTCTTGGAGGGCAGCTGCCCATGCAATTAAAACCAACTCAGGGGACATTTTACTGTGAGGGAGGAACCAATAGCCAAATAGTGAGGATGGAGACTGTTTTGGAGACTATTTTTGTTGATACGGAGGAGGATTGTTTTTGTTGTTTGTCAGAGCAAGAAGGATTCAATTTCAGTACTAGTTTTGGAGACAGAGCTGGTTTAGTGAAAATCCCAAATTGTTTGCGCCTTTGGAATCTTGTCCAATTAGTGTGCAATTATACAGGATTCCAAATTCCAAAGATGGGGGGAAATATGTAGTAATTTGAGCCCGCCTGCTGAGCCTTTAGTACCACTGAAAGTGATTCCCAATTGCATACCTTGATACATGTTTCAGGAATGATCCAATGTCCCAGTACAATGCTTCTACTACTATGTTCTGCAGAGCCTATTTTTGGAAATTACTTGATGCCATTCATGACAGAAAGGCAGGATTCATAATTAGGTCTTTTGCAGTTTGCTGCAAGTGGAAGTCACATTGTTGTCATCCAGTGGCATAAAATGTATTTTGTGGAAGGAACTTTATTTTTGAAAGAAACACCAACTATTAGCTCTGTATATTTTGTGGAAGAAACAGTTTATAGTCTCTAAAAATAGCCATTCATTTTGTACTACGGTATAGGTCTACAGTACTATGAAAAAACTTCATACCAGATTTTTACTAGTATTTCTACTACCCCCTCAGACTCCCTTTTCCATTGACAATTTAAGTTAAAAGAAACTATTCTACTATTTTGTTCTTTTCAACTTTCATGATTTGAATGACCTTCAACCTTGTTTTTTGTTTTGAGAGGAACCAATCCGGCCATGCAATTTGTAAAAAAAGACAGCTCTGTAGAAACAAGAATAGACTAATTCTATGAATTTGTTCAGAGCGATTGCAGCGATTGCAGCGATTGTTCACCATTTCAAGCCTAGTTTCTAACACCTTCAACATTAAGAAAGAAGCTGAATTGGGATTAGGGCTAGCAGGATATCTGAAAATTAGCTCTCCAGATAGTAATGATATGTTATTGTGCTTAGGACAGAAACCTTACGTAGTGATGGAACAAAGAGTGTTGGATAAGTTCAGGAACATGTTGCAGCATTCGTGCCCAGGAACATGATTCACTCTTCTGCTGTATATAGGTCATTTCCGTTGGAAGTGGTATTTATACTGTAGCTTCAAACTTGCACCATTCGTGCTGTATGTTGTATAGTACATATTTTCTTTCTTTTGAGGAATGTCTCCGATCACATACCTTTCTATTCGTTCGTAGTATTTAGGCATGCTACTGTATGAGTTCATCTTTGTAAATCAATTCCTTGATGGATAAGTCATTCCGCCGATGATTGTACCATTCTTTTCGAGACAATATCGAATGGATTCAACCTTTCATTCATCCATCCATCCATGTATCAATCACTGTTCTTCAGGAAAAAATTGGGATCCCGTCCCAGCTTGTTTTCAAAGCGACGCCACCATCGATCAAAAATGTTGGCGGGAACCGTCATTTGTTGGCTTCCCCTAGCACCACCCGTGTCGAATGAGAGCATGAAGTTATATAGGTCCTGTGCGATTTTTTGTGCCACCATGGGTCGCTTGTCCGGTGCGGCTGTGCCCGGGTTGGTAGCCGTCGGCATAACCGAGGCACCGATTCCGTCCGCAGTGAGATTCCGAACCGTTTCCAAGGGCTCGATTGATATCCCGATGTTCACTTTCACCGGTTGATTGGGAAGCAATCCGATGAACTCCTCCCGTTCCGACCATCCCGTTCGAAAAATGTCCGACTGTTTCTCCAATGGTGTTAGGGACCCCAAAAGTTCAAAGCCGGATTGGACCGTAGGACTGACCTCAACTTGCCAATACAGCAAAATCCCGGTGTTGGCGGGGATTGCGCTCGCCGCGCCGGGCAGCAGGAAAAACACCAGTTCATTGATCGACGAAAGGGGGGAGGGCAAGCATCCCGGGCTGTCTAACGCCAGCGTGAACTTTGTGTTGTTGGATCCTTCGACGGGTAAGAAGTCCGTCCGCACCGGTGCGGTGGCTGCAACCAATCCGAACAGTTGGCCTTGCGGAGGCTGGACCCGTTGCTGATGCCCGCCCGCCGAAGCCGAGAACGCCGCAAAGCCGTTGTTGAAAGAGGACATGGACGAGTCGCGATCTAGATCCATGGTTTTCTTCTGGTCTTTGTCCGATCTTACCAGCCATTAACTTTCGTTTGCTTGTGCATCCGGTGTGTTTTTGTTGGGACGATAACAGTGACCGAGGGCGGTGGACGACGGTAAGTAACGCATTCAATGCCCGTGTTCTGTGTGACAGAAAATAAACTGTTCGATTCCAAAGCAAGAGAATCGTAGTAACAAACGCAAGCCTTCGGTTGTCAGTTGTCAACCATGCAATGGAAGACGATGGAAGGGCATTAAGGCAGTAAGGGTACTTGTAGTACCGTACGTAGTACGTACTACGATGTACTTCTAATACGGTACGGTACTCGTACCTGGTAGTTGACTTTTGAAAATTTGAAAAAATCAAAAACCATAAACCTCTTCGAAATTCGAAACCAAAAAAGGCGCGAACATGATTGATGGATAGGGGCCTCTGGGAATCTTGGTGTCTCGAATCATTTTAGAATCACAAAGATCTGTTCCGATCCCAAGAGTTTGAAATGTCACTCGTACTGTAAGAACGCATTCTTTGTGAAGCACCCCGCATAAAAGGGAACGGTTTCATCATACAAAATTATTTCATCAACGAAACTTGAAAGATATACTGCTGGGATTACTATCTATCTCACCTGCAAGCGATATAATGATTTCCAACTTCATGAGGGTCCTTTTGCTTTTGCCATCATCCTGCATGCACAGGATGATTGGCGTCTACGCAGGAATTCCGGTCCCCGAAGAATTCTTCGAGTCGCAAAAGATTGACCACCTCGGTGTCACCGACCACGACGGGGTTTGGTCCCAGCGCTACTATTCCTATGGGAAACACTTTGATGGTCCCGGGCATCCCATTTTCTTGATTCTTGGTGGCGAGGGGGGAATCTCTCCCGATGCGGGCATCGTGTATCCATTTGTGGGAGACCACCTGGCAAAAACCTTTGGGGCATACGTCTTGCAGCCAGAACACCGCTTTTATGGAAAATCCAGACCGATTCCTGGGCCAACGGTCCATCTTCGGTCTACGAAACACTCCAATCATTATATCGACGAAGAAAAGGAAGATCCACGCGTGAAACTCTTTACTTCCGAACAAGCCCTGCACGACGCCATGACGTTGCTGGAGCACGTCCGCAACGACCTGGGCTGCTCGCCGTCGAAGGACGACCCCTCCCTGTACTGCCCCGTCATTACCGTTGGAGGAAGCTATCCGGGCTTTCTTTCGGCCTTTGCCCGCATTTTGTTTCCAGAGGTTGTCGACATGGCCTACGCCGCCAGTGCACCCATGAAATTTTACGCCCAAGAAACCAGCGTACACGCCTATTACGACCACATAACCGATGTTGCGGAAGATACCCTATCGGGGTGTGCGGCGGGCGTCAAGCTGAGTTTGTTGGAGATCGAGCGCATGATTCAGAACACGAAGAGTAGGTCGGAGATGGAATCCCTGGCCCTGGAGGTTGGCATTTGCGAGGGAAGCATTCCGGAGTACATTTTCTCCTCCGGTGACGACGGCAGTAGTTTCCGAACGAAAATGGTCCACGAGCTCATGATGGTTGTTGGCTACACTTTTGCGAACGACAACATGGCGAATTATCCACCGGGCAAGGATACTCGGCTCTACAAGGCCTGTGAAATATTTACCTACAAGGATCTATCGCCCACCAAAAAGGTCGAGACACTCCTGACGGAGCGGTTGAATCTTGGTTCGAGAACGCAGCGATATCCACGCCTCACGTACAACAACCACGACGCACCGGGGTCGTCGCCCTCACCGCCTCCAACGTGTTGGAGCATGAACCGACAGCTGCCCTCGGGACCCAACGCCACCATCACCGGAGGAGACTGGAGCGGCGACGGAACCGGACCCGACGGAGAATCCTGGGACTTTCAGACCTGCACGCTGCTGGTGGAGGCCATTGGATTTTCGGAGGAGTCTATGTTCCCCGCTCGAAATTGGACTATGGAGTGGTTAGAGGATCATTGCATGTCTCGTTTTGGTGTTAATCCACGGCCGAAGGAGCTGGTGGAGCGGTTCGGCTTCAACGACCTGATTTCGAACAACGTGACCAAGATTCTCTTTACGAATGGACTCAAGGTAAGCGAAACAACAGTGGGATCTACAGAACGAAAGTAGCTGGGTTTGCGTTCCAACCAAGAATATTATTTGTTGGATGCTACACCCGATATGCTCACACTTTCCATGCGTCAATCCGAACCCAACAAATAGGACGGGTGGTCCGTCAGCGGCATCCAGACCAATTTGAGCGAGTCACTGATTGCTCTCAACTTTGAAAACGGGGCGCACCATTCGGATCTGAATCACGTGGGACCGAGCCCACGGGATAGCGACGATATCCAAGAAGGATACAGATTCGTTGCTCGATTGTTGGGAGATTGGCTTGGTGAATTGCGCAATGATTTCGGTGGCCCCAGTACAATTGGTAATATACAGTAGGGAGTGAGACGATGACGAACAAAAGAAACAAACTAGAGTCATTATTGAATCATGATGCCGTGTGTGGCCTCAGCTTGCTCTACTGATGCAAGTTATGACGCGTTTCTGTGAGACGCTTTCATCCACCGCATATTTCATTCATTCTAAGGAAGCAAAGAAGTCATCTAGATCTTCTTCTCCATCAGGTTCATCCCCATTGCGTTGCTCTTCTATGCCTTCTGACTTAGTTATATGAGTCGGATGTTCCGCTATCCCTGTCGTCTGAAGTGACTCTTTTGTAATTGTTGGTGTTGGCACTCCTACTTTCGAGTACAGAGCTGTCGCGGAACCATTCAGCCCCTGTTTTTTAGTCACCTCGTGATAGGGATCCGATGGCTGGACACAGAGGATAGATCCTCCCGGCAACTCGCATCCATTGACCTTGGGAACGAGTAGCGATCACGAATGGGAACGACATTGACGATGATGGTATTTGGATTTGCGGACGCGTTGGTTGAGAAACATGGTTACAAAAGTTTACACATTTTGACTCCTCCAAATGCAATTCGAAGGTACTTATACCGTTGAAATCGGCGATTGCTTGAATTGGTCAGCCAGAGAAACCTTCGCAGCAGACATGGTTGTATGGAAATTCGTCACGTCGCAACAATGGGAACCAACAAAAAACACACTCGTTCCATTTTTTCCCACTTTTTCATTTTTGAGAGCAGTGCTACTTCGTGCCTTCTCGCGTGTCATTGTCGGCGTATTCGATAATAATAAAAACATACTACATACCTGTGAGCAAACCGATTCCGTCAAGGATGCCTCATCGTCTTCCCCGTTCAATGAGTATATAACAAGTGCATCACCCTTCCTCCTCCCGCTACTCTTGTGTACGTAAAAATGCACTTTGCGAAGACTTCCGTAGCTTGCAAACAGCGCACGGATTGTTTCATCGTCGACGGATCCGTCGGTGGGAATATTCGAGACATAAATTGCGAACGATCTACTACCCCCTCCAGTTCCGTTCGCATCGTCCTTTTTGTGGTTCGAGGCGTTGGTGTAATTTCTGAGGCTCTGAGGAAGAGCCGTTCGTTGTCGTTTGCATTCTGCCTTTCTTCTTTGCTTGGTTCCAATTCCCGCCCCACTCGTATTAATGTCGTTCCTTCCATCGTTGCGGTGGTTGCGCGATCGCTTTTCGAGCTTTTGGCGATAGCGCTCGTCGATTTGTTCCTCCAGTGTCCGTGCCTGCTGTACCTGATCCAATTCTTGCACGAGTCGCGCTTCCTCGAGACGTGCCACATACTCGAGGTTCTTGAACAAGGCACGTTTCTTTCGTGCTTCGTCCCTTTCGAGACATTCCCGACGTCTCCGTCCCAATTCCCAAGGGGGAGTGGTCGCTGCCACTACCTGTGTTTTATCGACCATTATTGGGGTAGGGGGTTGTTGTGCTTGAAAGTATGACGGAGCGCACTGTTCCGTTGGGATAGGATGTGTTGTGACATGTTTGCTGTTGGTTCGAATGCTCAAGGTTTCCTGGGGGCCGAAGAAGCTTCTATCATCGCTGCCACTTGTCGAAGCGGGCTGTTCGCTTGATTGACCCCACGCACTATTCGCACTATTTTCGCTTTGGTTCACAGCAGCACCAATTTCATTGTGATAACCATTTTCGGGTTTCGACTGAAACTTGCGTATAATTTCCAAGGCTTTCATACGCGCATTCTGGGCATCGCTTTCGATCGAAGCAGTGGACGGTGGATGTGGCGTTGACTGTTGCCCCAGCATTGTCTTCGTAAAGTTTGATGGACAATGTATGTTGAAATTGTTGTTGTTTTCGATTGAAACCTTCTCTGCGTCCATATTTGCAGTTGTATTTATGGCGGCAGAGTTCTCCCCATCATTCTGGAGTATGTTGCGAACAATATCCATGGCTTTCGATCGAGCAATGTTGGCTTCTCTCTCCTGCTGCGCGCGGAGTTCACCACAATCAAGGGTCTGTACACTATCAGACGGACCGTTGAATCCTTTCATTCTTTTTGCGGCGACAAAGAAAACTCCAGAATTATTTTCGCTACCAGCCGCATAAGGATGGAAATCAATGATGTCCGCGGTAGTTGCGCTCGATTTCACATTTACACCTCCAATTCCATTCGCTTTCGACCACTCGACTGACATAGTAGTCTTTGTACCCGTCGGGATCGCAATATCACCCGGCGTAGACCAGGACGACGTCGTTGTTGCTAACGTTGGATGGCAGTATTCGTACCCTATCCCCAAAAACGATTCACCGTAGTCTCCGACATAATCCCCAGTCATTGTCGCAGAATAAAATTATAGCGCTTTTCGTATTTTCGTCCGCTTTCGCCAGAGTATGGTACGGCGTACTGCAGTGTCTATTTGGACGATTGTTAACCTGGTTKGTTTTGGTTTTGGTTTTGTTGTCGATTTTGATTTTGATTCTGATTTTGGTTATTCTTCATTCCTGTTTTCCTTTTTCCTTGTTGCTATTGTGGTTGATCTTAATTCATGGATTTTAATTGGGTTCTTACCGTTTTTACGTACAAATACCTGGTACGAACCAACAATGAGCAATGTTGGTTCTCAAAACAAAATGTGTGCGAGCCGGCGCATCCACAATCGGCACGAACTTTCCTACCGGTATGATAGGAGAGGTGTCATAGTTACTGGAAAGAACTAGTACGTACGGTACTGTACAATGCAGTTTCACTGACCATAACCTTTGCCCCAACAGAAAGTACCATGGTGGTGGTATGGTACGGTACAAATGGACTGCATCCGATAGATACCTCTTACGTACAGGTACGGGTACAGTAGACGATTATGTTCGACGAAGAGTGGCGGTCTCATTTTATTTTGGCGACTCTGATTCGTTCAATTTTCTAGCCGCAACATGCATCATCAACAACCAAAGCAAAAAGTTTTTGCGCCATTGCAAACACATGACAATCAAGAAGCAAGGTCAACGGTAGCAGAACACCTCCTTTCATACTAACGTGCCTACCACAACTTTGATTTCTGAAAGAAGGTCAGGAAATCAACAGCAACTTCTAGAAGTCACGCAATTATACTTTTAGTCGAAGGAGAACTATCCCTCCGGATAGGCGGCGAATCGCATGCTTCGTTACGATTTGAAAGGACTTTCGACCAGTGGGCTGGAACAACAAAATTGGAATGAGGCGTACCTCGATCCAACATCTGTAAAATAATCTTCGACACTTTCTTGACATATTCGAACGGCGTCGCTTACAGTGTGAATTTCGATTTATTCGATAACAAAGAGACAGTGCGCCATTACATCTGAGGCAAACAGAATGGTGGACATACTCTACAAAATTGATCGACCATCTGTCGTCCCTTTCAATTATGGCGACGATACATCTAGTTCGAACCAGAACGAGACAGACAGCAGCAGCAATATCGTCTACCAGAGTTCCACGACCAGCCTCGCATCATCGAGAGACTTGTCGTCGAGGTCCCGTGCGAAAACCAAACTAACCCCCCAGCGAGTGGATATGGCGGGCAACCTCGCAATATCAGACCGCAAGCTGGATGACTTCCACAACCAATTCCAAGCCGTTCTAAAGTCACAGGGTTACGATGGATTATCACCGCACMGGGTGGAAGAAGAATGGGCATCGTCTTCCGACGAAGAATCGTCTCTAGGTTTTGATCACTATCCCAGAGGGACAAACGAACACACTTCTATTGACCGACCTTTAACAGCAAATGCTGCAAATAGTTCTTTTGCTTCCAAGGAAAACTCGCAGAATCAGAAGAGCAACGATGGCAAAAATTCCTCACCGGATAGTGAAACCGAATCGGGCAAGCGATCTCTTGGAAGCGACGTCGACATTGAGGTCAATTCTACAGACAACAGTGGTGTTGTTGGCATTGGTGATAAGAGTATACTAGGCAACGACCTTCCCAGTGAGCAGGCATTTTTGGAGTCGTCTCGCCGCCTAGCAGAAATGAAGCGAAAACTGGACGAGATGCGGGGTCTCAAGAACTCCATCGGGGTGCTGACCGAATCCTACTTGGAGAGAGGGGCTAAACGGGACGAACCGCAAACTGCAAAGAACCACATCGAATGGCAACCTGAACCGAGTGTTTCTTCCGCATCATCCGTGCCGCCCCCGACTCACAAAGCAGCAGAAGACTCGGTGCTTTCTTCGGACAGGGTCGGAGAACGTGCCGCAACCCCGGAACGGTCGGTCTCAATGACGACGGCAGCCGCAGCAACGGCGCACGCAACAAGAACAGAAGTTTTTGATGGCAGGGAGGTGGCCACGGGGGCACCTAGCGAAGAAGATCATACCGATTTGAAGACAGAGGTATCGATCCTGCTGAACACAACCACAAGCACTATCGGAGAAGAGAGCCACATAGACCAGAAAACGACGGAACGACGTCCTTGTCGACTGGCGTTGATCGTGCTCGCGGTATTTGGATTAGCCGGTGTAGGGATTTACATCGGCTACATGTCCTACATGATTCATATGAACAAACAATAACACGGGGACAACTCTTTTAACCATAATTTGTCGATGGAGAGCATCAAACGAACGGGAACGTTTCCCCCAAACCTGATGAGACTGCAGCCAGGGTATAGACGATCGTGATGGAATAGGCTGGGACATTCAAAATAAGAATAAGCGATACTAAAGTCTTGTTTCCAACTTCCTCTGGTGGTGAGTCCTTCAATTCCACGCTAGTTGGAACATAAAAGTCGATGAAGGTAACACAGCTGGAGTCCGTGAGTTCAAAATTCTTTGCTCACTGGTAGTTCGAGTTCGATTGAATACTAGTACCGAATTATGGATGTAAATCGCGTCGTATTTATCTGTTGGGGGACATTGACAAAGGGGTTCTACTCGGTTTTCATTTTTACCATCGTTATAGTTTGTGTGTGGCAACTGCGATGACCTACCGAACATCACATGACTAGTAGTCAGCATTCGATGCCATTTGACTCGCTATCGTGGATCGTCCGATCATCCTTTAACGTACCGTGTGGGTACCTTTAATAAAATATACAATAATAAATACACAGTACAAAGTGCGTAGGATTCTACACACACACAAATTATGGCTAATTCCCTGCAATRCAAGTATTTGTAAGAGTGAGCCTTACTACTGGAGGGGAAATACCAAAAAACTTRGTGAAATTTTGAAGTACACGAGTACACTCCTTAATTAACTAAGTACTTCGAAGTACTTGTAAGAGTGCTAACTACTGGGGAATGAAAACCTGTAATTTTAGGAGTCGACAGCACTAAGAGTACTGCTTACTACTGGAAATAAACACCACACGGACTCGTTACTACTGATTCCTACAAGCACCTCAGGCCCAATACTACTGGTACTGGKGGTGTTGCTAACTGTGTTAATAGGAATACTGCTTACTGTTTCTTAACAKCTATCMAACATTGCTCTTTTATTCAGGATAGCACTACACGTAACACCGCCACGAATAACAACACTAATAACACGAATAACACGGAAAGATACGAATCGATTGCTCCGAATCGATTGCTCCCTTGCTTCCATATGGATCGATTGCTTCCATACGGATCGATTGCTTCCATACGGATC